ACTTGACGGTCGTTTTGTCCTATTATGGGACTCCTCAGCAACACGCATCCACGAACTCGCCCCCTGCAAGATTCGAACTCTGAGGAGTCCCACAATAGTACGAAACGGCCGTCCAATGCTTTCAGTTTTCCATGTTGGTCTAACTTCAACTGACTCATGATTTTAACCATTGAAATTACTATAATATCCATAAAACCCATCTCATATTAATACTTTTAATCTTGAGCATCAAAACTAACGAATGTTTTTATTTTCTTCATCATTTTCATTATTTTCTTGTTTTATTTTATAGATAGTTGTTGTTGATAAACTTGACCTATACAATATTCAATATTGAATGATCATTTGAAATTTTATGTTCTCTCTTTCTTTTTCTCTTCTTTTATGACACAAATAGTTTCTTTGTTTATTTAACTTATTCAATATTTTTAGTTTAATAATAAATTTCAAATTTTAATTTATAATTTTAGTCAAGTTAAAATAATTTATTATTTATATTCACATTCACCTTATGATGAACTAAACGTGACCGATTTTCATTTTCTCTGGAATAAGATTCGTTTTATTGATAATATGAATAATGTCAATATTTAATTTTAATTTTTCCACTATTCAAGAATCACTTGAATGTTACTTAATTATTTACGCTTGTTACTCTTAATCGAGCATAGGCCGACGACTGTTAAGAAGTATTAAATAGTTATTCTTTAATGATGAACTAATAATCATTAACTAATACCCTATTAAAATTTCTATTAAGTATCATTAATTAACATTTAGGTTTATTAAAAGATTTGTCAAATCTTAATACAAACTTTATTGTTCATTTTCCCCTTAAGGGATTAGAATGTATGTAATGATAGTTATGTTTTAAAATATAATCTTTGATATTCTATAATGAATATTAGATGATAAATTCAATTGTTTTGACTAATTGAGTTAAGAAATTTCTTTTGTTATTATTATACTGTTTTATGAATAATAAATGTTATATAACAATTTAAAAATAGATGAATTCATGAGTTGAGCTATACTAGATCACCACTGAAAACCTTGAAGCATTGGACGGTGGTTCTGTCCTAGCATAAGATTCCTCAATAGTGAACATACACAATTTCATACGTTGTACTCGAACTCACGACATTCGGTCTTGAGCATGAACGCTTAATTTCTGGACCACTAAGCCAGTATCCGACAGTATTAATGTCTAACTTTAATCAATCCATGGTCTTGCGTAACCTTTCATCTATTGTCTGAATGGAATAATTGTCTCATACCACATACGCATTGTCTCGACTGATGAATGATTCGGAACTGTAAATGTATCATTAGATTCTGTATTCTTTACATTTTAAAAAAAACTACCATAAAAAGGACAATATTCCCACTATGATTATGTGATAATGGACTTGATAATTGAATATTAAAAAATAACGAATCTATATTGAATTGCGTCAATAAAAAAAGAATCCATCTGATGAACTACAATTAAAATATTACAAAAAGTTAATGTAGATAATATCTTATACATTATTTATATGTTAAATACTCTGTTAAAGGTAGTCTTTAATTGTTTGTCTGTAAGTCTCTTGAATAAAATTATAAGAGCAGTGATAGAGTAGACATTAAATGGGTAGTAATAATAATTATGCGGAGGAATAAATCAGGAAGAAGCACTGGAGGTGGATAGGACACAAATTGAAAAAAGCACTCAACTGCGTCACAAGGCACGTCCTTACATGGAATCATCAAAGCAGAAGGAAAAGAAGAAGATCAGAGAACACATTACGTCGAGAAATGGAGATAGACATTAGAAAAATGAACAAAAATTGGATAGAATTAGAAAAGAAGGCCCAACACAGAATGGGTTGGAGAATGCTGGTCGGCGGCCTATGCTCTATTGGGAGTAACAGGAGTAAGTAAGTAATAATAATAATAATAATAACACGAAATTCCTTTAATCAGTTTGTTTTACACACAAGTGATTTTATGATGAACTTGCTATATTGTTATAATTGATGCAAATTAACAAACCATTATATCAATTAAATAATTCGAGCAATAGAATTACTTTAGTTAATTGTATATAAATCTTGTTCATTTTATTGATGTACTATACATAATGTATCAAATTAATCTTCAAAATATAATTTATGTATATGAATGTTTTGTGATTCGTAAAAATAGCATATACAACAGTTAACCACTTTTTGAAATCAAATCTTCTGTCAACCAATATCACAGTGAGAAACTTCAATATAAATGTCAAGATAATTCAACTGTACGGAGATGAAACGTGGAGAACTAATACAACCATCATCACGAAGGTTCAAGTATATATAAATAGTTGTCTACGCAAGGTACTCAATGTCAGTTGACCGGATATCATCAGCAACAGCCTTCTGTGACAGAAGACAAACCAGCTTCCAGATGAAGAAGAAATTATAAAAAGATGTTAGAAGTGGATAGGATATATAGTGGGGAAACGATCAAACTGTATCACAAGGCAAGCGCTAAATTGGATTCGTAAAGGGGAGTGAGCAAGAGGATGGGCAAAGACTATACAACGTTGAGAACTGAAAGCGGACATGAAAAAGATAAATAGCAACTGAAAAGAACTAGAAAGGATTACGCAGGACAAAGTTGGATGGAGAGTGCTGGTAGTTGGCCTATGCTCCTCAAAGAGGAGTAATAGACATAAGTAAGTAAGTTATCAGTCAACAAAAATTCAAAACTATAGCATATGTTTTTTATAATGCATTTTTCCTACTTTACTTATCAACAGTATTCAAACTAATTAAACTCTATTCTTTCTATTTCATCAGTAGAGATTTACTTCTCTCCACATATATTCTTTCAACAATCGATCATTCAATCTCTCTATAAATCAAATATATGTTGAGTAGTACTGAAATAATAAGATTAGACTCATCAGAGAAATAATTAAATTATATGTCCAAAATATCAACCAATTATTGATTTGCTCCTTTAGTAGAATTCTATACAAGAAATAAATTACCATAAAAATACCCACCACTTAAGAGGAAATGTTATCTCCAACTCTCAAAAAATAATCAAAATTCATAAATAGATTTCGTATTGACTAATGTATGTTTTAAAAACCAAAATAGATGAATAACTAGATAAAGAATGTTTTCCCCCTATCTCTCTTTACTTTTGTTATGAATACAATAATATGATAAAATGGTTTGATTAGGTTAATGAGAAAACATTTTTCTCTCAATGCACGTTTATTATTTACAAACTTAGGGAAACATAAGCATAGATTATAGAAAACATTCTATTTACAAGTTACATTTGAAATAATGTTTACGATTCAAATTTAAATGATTCCAACTTTTTAAGCAAAGATAGATTGTGGCTAGTAATGGAATAAAGAACGCGAGTTTCGTCCTATTTCAGACTCGTCAGCTGGACACACTTACATTTCAGAGTTGATATTCACTCCATGAAGATACAAGTAAAACAATGTCAAGTGAATTCCAACTTATTGCCTAATAAACTGGTATGAGCTTGTTTTGAGAAATAGGGAAATGGTTTGACCAGTTTGTTGGATGAAATAATGAGATTACCTAAAGTTGAATCATTGAAATCATTTGAAAATACAATTTTCATATATAACATTTTCTATATAATTGGTGCTCAATATCTGTCTATCTGTTTCACAAAATTTTGATAACTATTTATATTAATAGTCTATTAAAAATGTTATTTTCTACTAATTGTATGCAACCAGAAACCTTATAACGTACAGTTCTATTTAAAGCAACGTTTAGCTTTACTTAATGAAAAATCCAGTGATAACGTTGTCAACTTAATTACACTGAATGTACTGTGCTATTTTTAAATAAAATAATATTGTTCTATTTATCCATGATATGATCATTCATGAATAATGTTTTTAAAAGTTCTAAATGAATATGAACTAAATTTATAATGAATTCGAAACGTTTACGAATATGAAAATGGTTTCCATAGTAAATTTTAAAAAATCTTCCCATTCATTAAAACTTTTGAAAATTTAATTAAAATTTCGGTAATCACAATGAATCTTTGTAATTTTTTCATACAGAAAAAAACCAATAAAAAGCTGGAACTTGGTGATACATCATTAGGTTTACATTATTTGATGCTTGGTAGTAAAGAGAAAACTAACCAAGTTTTATATATATATATATATATATATATATATATCTTGGAATCTATCTAAAAACTAACTGCATAGATATAAATATACATATACTTGTCAGGGCATTTTTATATGAAAATTAATAAAAGTCAAACAAATAAAAGTACAATTAAAATAACTAAGGGGAGAGAAAAAATAAGAAATTGTCGCGTTATCCTAGGCCATAGAATGACTTAACGATTACCAAGGTAAATTCAAGTTTACGACAAATTGTTTTTGTACACATAAGGGGGGTTTAAATTTACGAATAGCCAAGGCTTCAAAATCAATGTGTGTCAAATGATCCGATCAGTGTAGGAGGTAGAAAACCGAATTCATCGATAGCGAAACATATAATTGAGACGGGGCACAAAATTAACATTAATACAGCATTTAGAATGTTGTATAGAAATTGTCAAGGTCGAATCCTTAAATTTATTGAAGCCCCACTTATGTGTACAAAAACAATTTGTCGTAACCTTGAATTTACCTTGGTAATCCTTAAGTCATTCTATGGCCTTTATTAATTTTCATATAAAATGCCCTGACAAGTATATGTGTATGACCAGATTGTTCGAAATGTATAGCGCAAATATATCACATTTTTTAGATCAACTCCGTCTTCTCATTGTTCTATCGAAACATATAAATTAAATATCTTCATTTTGAAGATCATATAAACAATGAACATTTTATGTTTATTTCATGTACAGTCAATTCAATAAATTTTGAGGGTCTATAGAACAAATTTTTTTTCTTTAGAAAAAATATTCGGTTTACTTCATTCAATAAGAAATAAATTAAAACTCACCAAAAATTACTTTACAATAATATCAGAAAAGATCTTTTCTCTTTTTTAAATACTGATCCTAAAATTCTACATATGTGAATAACCCAATGTTTCATTTATTTCATATGATAATACTTTACTTCTTTTCAGTAATATGTCATTATTATTATTATTATTATTTTCTTTGAAGATAATCACCTTATCAACTAACTATGAAAGGAGACATATCGTCAAGTGATATTGGTCTACTTTATTTATTTTAAATATGATTGGTTAATTTTAATCTTTTAACAATAAACTATCATTTTGTTTCGAGTATAGTTAAATAGATCTAGTGTAATTGGTTAAGAAATAATAAATAAATAAATCTTTCTAAATAAACCACTTAATTAATATTGTAGTAAAAAAAAAGAAATATTACCACTATTGTAATTTCACAGATTGAAATCATGAGTCAGTTGAAACTAGACCACCATGGAAAAAAACCTGGAAGCACTGGACGGCCGTTTCGTCCTAGTATGAGACTCCTCAGCATTACTGTAATGATTATAGTTCATAAGGAAAACATTTTATCCGGGATACTTGATCTTCTTTTTTTGAGGTGAATTCATTAGTTTTTGTACAGTATGTTGCATTGTATGCATTTGTGAATTATGTTCTAGTGATTATTTATATAGTGATTTAACTGAAAGTTATTCAGGTCAAGTACTCTACGTTATTTTAACATCTGAATTTTAAATGTAACTTCTAAAACATAAAGCCTGATTAGTTTAAGTAAGTTTAATATTCGAACTAAATTTCATTCTTTTTATATTTTCCATAATTATTCTACTTTTTTTCAATAGCTGATCATTGAATTATGGAAACTTTATTATTAGTATTGGAAACTAGATATCAGTATAATGGATGTGATAGGCTAATGTGGTAGATGGTAAGAATTTTTTTCAATAACATACAAGCGTGAATTATTTTAAATAAAAACTGGGTTTAAGTAATGATATTATATTTTACACTGTTCTCTTCAACTTATCAATAATGAATTGACATGTTAAGACTACTGAGTAGTAACTCATTGTGTGCTGTTCCTGATAACAAACACTAAGCCACATTGCCAGACAATCATCGTAATATTTGTGGTTTCTAAATGTTTCTAACAACAATCTTATTGTATGTAACAGTGCTGAGGTTTATGTGAACCTTCTCAAGTGTTTGCTATACTCTTATACCTAATTTAATACACGAATTGTTATGATGGTAAGTCCATGAGCTTTAACTGAGCCGACATCCATCATGTATTTATGTTTAACTTCAACCAATTCACGAAATTTCGACAACCATCCTCCATTGTCTGAGGTAGATACATGTTTCTAAATGACACGGATTAGCACTACTGGTCATGGCTTCCCACTAGAACTCCGAAAACTACCTCTTGAAACTAGTCACTATTAAGTACATAGTAATTATCACTATGGAAAAGATTTCATAAATAAACATAATAAGTAAAGAGTGAGAATTGATAGTGTGATGACAGGTGTACTAGTTGTAATAAGAATACCAAAGGCTTGATCCATGTTTCATAGATGGGATTAGGTCAATGATTTGAAAATATAAATGCTGAGATAGCAACTATAAAAACTATAAGATTATGTATTACGAAGTGTTCAGATAATTGAACAATGAAGCAAATATTTAGGGGAAAAATAGGTGGTAGTGGGTGAAGAAAAATATAAGAAAAAAGAGCATGGAAAATAATAGTAAATAAAATCATTTGTTAAAGCCAAGGCAGAGATAAAAGCGTTACAAATTTCTTAAGAACACAAAGACTTGAATTGTTAGCTCGAATTACTATACCTTCTGCTATGTGTACGAGACGAGATCGAAACCCATAAAAGAAACCTGTAGAATTAATTTAAATGGCTTATTTCTGTCTAATACATAACCGCTATCGATCAAGTGTGATAGAATCGAGCTGAGTATTGTCTTAACAGTACCTTTTCCTAACCACGAAGGGAGGTGTTCACTAACTCTTTGGCTCAGTTGTCTGGTTGTGCGCCCAGTATAGCTTTCTCCACAGGAGAAGCTGAATTTATAGATACACATGGAAGTGGTATAACCATGTAACTTATCCCTTAGTTAAGGAACCATCATAAATCGGGTCGAGTACGACAGACGGAGGTTAATACATATAAAGGCTTGTGATCATCTGATTTTCCAATTATTCTCTAATAAAATGTTAACCACTATGCTTGTAGATTATCAGGAACGGAATATCATCAAAAGAAAATTATCAATACAGTCAACATGTTTTTCGCATAAGTACAAATCAGGCTAGTCGTAAACTGCACAGTTTAACCTTTAATATTCAAATTGACTTAAATATATTAACACAAAAATATTTCATACAACTAGTTCCTGTCGTAAATCTGGATTGTACATAAGTAACAAAGTGTTCAGAATAAAATGGATTCATTTTATCAAATGACCTCTCATAAGATGCAAATGTTTACAACTACAATGAAAAACATAGTTATAAATAAACCTTTAAAATATTTAGTCGATAAAACTTAGATGAGTGCTTCTTCTCTGACAGCTTCAATCACGTATTTTATTAAAAACCTTTTAGCTAGGTACATGATACAGTTATTTTTCATGATAAAACTTTAAATGCAAAACTCATGTTTATTTGAAATCGTTTATGTAACATTTTTTTTCTAATATTTCTCTGATGAGATTAGATTCTGAGCAGTTCTTTTCAAAAAAAATCAAATACTTGAAAAATAGTCTTTCAGTACCAAGAAATGTTCCTTAAGATTTCGTACTTCCTTGAGATTATATCAAAACGTTTAATAATGGAGTAAACTTTACTTTATATTAATGGAACTGTAAAGATAAAAATTGTTTATCGTAATCTTAAGTGATTTTATTTATTCGGCAAAACACCCTGAACCTAAGTTTCGTGATTACTACCACTTTCCAACAAGACGTAATTGTAATTTTGATGAAACTGGTGCTATCTGGTGGATTCTGATACGCTATCAAATAGCTGGTTGGGCAGAGATAGGCTTCCTTTAAGAGTGAGATATATGAGACTGAATAATCACTGAGCTGTAACCAACATGACACGACACACACATGGAAGGACATCAATATATATAAACTTGTGATTACGTTATAATTTGATCGATAGAATTCTGTCAACACTAAAAGAAAGACGAAACATGGTATTAAGTCCTGAGTTCGATCCCCACGTGCGGAATCTTGGATGTGCACTGATGAGGAATCCCATACCAGAACTAAATGGCCGCCTGGTGCCTCCAGGTTTTTAAAGGTAGCCTAACTTAGATCGACTCGTGAATTCAACTGTGAAAATACTACAGTTTCCACAAATCTCCATACTGATAATTTCTTTTGAAAAGTTATAGCGCAATCTCTTCAAAATGTAATACGTTCGATAACTAAAATAATGAAAATGAATGAAATAACAACTAAATAAGTGCTTTCATTTTGTTGATAACAATGTTAACGATTCTGTTTTGAGAAATGCATTTGGAATATATCTTATATAACTGCTTAGTCAACAATAACGAAGTGGATATACTTGGTTACTGTTAGACTCAACTTTGCTGTTTTGAAATCCCATACTTACATATTCAGGGCGGATATCACATATTTACAGGAAACCTAGTAACCGTTCTAGATAAAATTCAAAACAATGACATTGAATGTTTTCTCCATTGATATGTTCAAATGAATTTGATTTTAATCTTGATAGTTGATAGACAGTTTTACATCAAATTCCATTAATTTTTCTTTTTTTTTGAATCAATCAAATTGATTTTAATTAGATGTAACCAGCTGATTGGTTCATAAGTCATCAACGTAATTAAATGTTGTTCTGGTAAAATGTTGTTCTATTTCAAATAAATTATTTACTAAAGGATTTACTACTGAATTCAAAACTAGAAAATAAATAAGTTTTTTAGTACCTTAAGTAATTGACGTATAAAAATTGTCCTTTATACTATGCTGATATGCACATACAAAGTGAATTTAAATATTTCACAAAATCATAGTAATTAGTTGAAAACATTAGTGAACTTAGTTAGCTTATTAAACTAATTCAGTGTTTACTTAACTGTACTAAACTATATTTCTTTCATTTGGACTTTAAGTGAATAGTTAAATTAACTTTATGTTGAAACTAAATATCCTTTGATGGGTCCTGGGTTCGAATCTCGCAAGGTGGGGTCGTGAATGCGCACTGCCGAGGAGTCCCACGATAGGACGAAACAGCCGTTCAGTGCTTCCAGGTGGTGGTAGTTTAGCTTCAATTGACTCATGATCTCAACTATTGAAAATATTAACATTTCTTTAAATAAACTTTTCTATGTATCAACAACGTTCAGAATAACAATAAGAGGTCAGTTAATATTAATTTATTTTACAGTGATATTCATTATTTATGCTTGAATATCATGAACTATCGGTTTCACAGTAACAGAAAAGTAAATCAATATTCAGACCATAAGATATCACAATGGTATTCCGTTCAATGATTCAGTACTGTACATAAGTATTATAGTACTGATACACGAAAACGTTATGCAGTTTATACTGAAATCACACTATAAATCACTGTAAAACTGAATAGATGAGTAGATGTAAGTTTCTTGTGAGTTTAAAAAGGAACACTGTGTTTTTGTATGAAGAAAGAATAAATATTTTAGCAGAATAACATCCATTGATTTTTGTTGTTGATCCTTTCCAGCTGCTTACAACGTAAGACGGTATAAAGCGAGAACGATTATCCGCAAAAATTCATAAGTAAAGTTGGAACGATTAAAAAAGAGATGTACTATCATGCGGTTGAGAAAAAGCCTGTCTTCTTAAAACGTGCTTTGAAAGGCTATGAAGTACCTGGGGGAATTGATTTAAGACTGAAGGTAATGCTATAAATGACATATCCAGTGACCTATTTGATGTCTCCATACTAAACCAAATGCTAAATGAGACAATCAAATGTACAAAAATACCCTTCTAAATGAACTTCCATTTGTATTTACCAGTTTACGTGTACATACTGAAGCACATGCATCATAAGAGCGTAAAATAAAGTCTATGTTCGCATCCCCGAATATATTTCACAAAAG